ATTTAAATTATTAGACTAAATCAATGATTTTAGCACAAATATTTTTACAACACACGCATACACACAAAGAGTAAATTAATAATTCTGTTAACTGACATTAGATGAATTTATATCGAAAATTTCCAAGATTAATATTTACCATTGAATTAAGTGCATTGACAAGGTTGCAAAAACAATATTTTTGTATTTTTTTTTAAAGATAAAGACTTTTTTCATTCTTAGGCTACAGATTTATTGATGCACCTACATATATCTGAGGAGTGTTGGAAAATACTTCATCTAACCGATTTCTCAAAATCTGAACAAGGAGCAGAATTTTCTTTGAAAGTGCTTCTTCGATAGGCTGAAAACTTTTCAACACCTCCTTCTTTGTGTGCATACACATAATTATCACTATGTCATATTTAGTGTGTACATGTTTTTGAGTAGGTGAAACACTTTTTTTGCTTTAAGCAGGCCTAGTGATTGAAAGTATTATTAAAGAATATGCGCTCTTCATAACAGTTTCATATCTAGGTCAGTAGACATTAATTTCATTATTTAAAAATCATAAATTTGTTTCAACCCACTAAACATAACATTTATAGTAATAAGAAATAAGGTAATATATATATATATATATATATATATAATGATATCATCAATTCAATAATACAAAATCTGAAACACAGATGGAACCGAGTTGCATATTTTGATATTATTGAATTGATAATATTATATTTAGGCTCTGTCAGCTTTGGCATTAAGCCCTCAGTTTATTTTATTAAAATATAAAGTTTATTTTTAAGCTTTAGCTTTTATCCTTACTATTTGTACATTATAGATATAGATAGATGTGCCATCACAACTAACAGTATAGTAAATGGAATTGGCAAACCAAGTTTGAATTTCATTATATGTTTATTTTGTACAGATGCTTTTGAGAAAGAGAGGAACCAAATTTTTTTTCTGCAGTGTATTATTGTCTGATGACAAAAACAAATCTCATTACTGATGTGAGTGAGTAAAAACTAACTCCTTTTCTCTCATAAGAAAACTAGTGAGAGAATTAGATACACTGGACAATATGAAATAAAAGGTAAAGCAAGTTGTAATAAAATCTCAATTTTACAGTGTAATTGAGGTTTTGAATATGCAAATACACAGTCCAGGAATTTAAAGAGAGCTGTCATCATCATTTCAAGAGAATTTATTCTTGCTGTTTTTGTTCTTACTAATGATAGATTAATTCTAAAACTGTACAATCCCTCTCTTTCTCTACAGATTGTGTACAAGAAAGAAAGTTCTTGACTGGCCAAAACTCTGTGGTTGCAACAAAAGAAGCATGAAGAATGATTAAGAAAAGGAAAAAGGATTAAAAATAACTTTTATAAGAGGTGCATGCAAAACCAACCCACAAACTTCTATCTAATGAAAATTCACTGAACAGACATTTTGTAAGTTTAGCTTTGTTTGGCACAAGGCCAAAATAATGGAGCACTTATCAACAAAGTCATTATACTTGCATGCCAGACAAGTTTGGTAGGTACCGCTCTATGGCAGGTACCCAAATTCATAAGCTAAATTGTTCTTTATTCTTGATTTGTTTAAGTTTTGTAGCCAGTGAGGTACACTTAACCAAAACAAAACTTTACACACTCATTAAAAAAAAGCAAACCCATTCTTGTCATCAGTATCAACCATATTATCCAATGATATATTTGGTGTCTAACAACAATAGAATTTAAACATATTGACATGAGGGTAATGTTTAACAAACTAGTCTGAGTAGTCTGACTAGTCTCCTTACTGGATGCCCCTGTACTATTTACCAAATTTTGCTTAGTTCAGCAACAAGAATAGGAATTTTATTATCTATGTCCCTTCAGAATATAGGTGATTATAACTCTCCAAAGATTCCTTTTCCTTATTATCTGTGAATCACCATGCCTCTTTTGGGAAAGACAGGGGGAGTGGTTTCCTACTGCCTTCTCTAGTTTTAAGATCAGTTTTCTTTCTCTTAGACGGGTTGCTATCCAGACTGTTTCTAATAGTCAATGACACTGTAGAGATATCAGAGGTGCATAATTAGTGGGTCTAAAGTGTATTATTGAATTGTTATTACATGGCTTCTGTTGGCCTAGCAAAATGGATAATCTGGCACAATTCTGGGACCAAGGATGCTGGAAAATATATCTGGTACCTCTGTTTATTTAAAAATCTGAACTGAGCAATATTTATTATAAAAGTTAAAAGTGAACTTACAATTAGAAAACTTTGAAGTTTTTATTCTTTTAGACATCAAGTTTAATCAGATCTGCTCTATTCTATTATGGGATAACTAATTAGGTTGTAGTCATAACATGAAGCAAATCTTTATTTTTTTTAATTTTTTGTTTTTTAACATTCCTTTATTTCCCAGTTTAAAATGGCCCAGGCATGTTCAATAAAATTCATGTTAGGAGATTAACATTAATATGGAGATATGCTTAATACCTTTTTGGACTTGCCATCATGAATTTTTCTTTCTTTCTTCCCATAAGTATTAAACTTCATTTTCTATGGAATGTTCTTTTTTTTCAAACAATCAATGAAATATTGGTATAAGTCCATCTCACAAAATAAATATTTATTTTTCTCAATTGATATTCCCAACACTGTAAAATCTTTGAATGACCAGTGTTCTAAATTGCTCTCAATACCACAAGTCCAACATGTTAGATAGTGAGCTGCAAATGGTTTAAACAACATTCTTGAACAGGTCATTTTCAGACCCATACTTTTCGACTGTTTGAAAATTGAACTTCCTCTGGTGAATGTTGGAAAGTTTAAGAACTAGCTTTCTTATGGCAGCTCTATCAGAATCAACCACATAGTTCAAGACAGTCTACAGCCATTTTTTGTCTCATTTGAACATTCACTGCTGTCTTGCTTTGAGGATTCTTTCAGCTTTCCATCTCATCAAATGAGGCAACAACCCAGATTGCCTATAAGATGCAATGTTTTTCTTTCTGTCATCATTGAATTGTAGAGTCAATGCAAATCACAATTGAAAATAGAATTTCTAAAAGGTTTTTTTTTGTAAATGTCCACCCAATACAAGGCCCAAGAGCCACTCCAGGTAAAAGGTTACTAAATGAGGTTGTTGTATGGATGTAGGAAGGGAAAGTAGGTAATAAGTGCAGATTATAAGGATAGGAAACAATTGATCCTAGATTTGAAATTAACACTGTAGTGTTCAAAGAAGCACTTTCTTAAGAGTGTTCTCAAAAGAATTCTTTGGGAAGAAAATATGCAAATGGAATTAAGTTGTTACCAATGGAATACAAAGGGAATGAGGATAATTTGACCCTGTGTATGTGGCATGACATGTCTTAGCTGCATTGGTCTGAATTGGTGGAACAAAGGAATGTATCTCATCAGAACTGGTAGGATGAGAGAATGTATCCTTTTAGAACATTTTCTTTGATACTATTTGACTCCATCTCATTCAGTCAATCAAAAATATACCCTCTTTTGAAATCTATCAAATCTTGGGCTTCCAGAGTGCATCTCAAAAAGATTATTTTTCTTATGCTTTTACTAGTTGTAAACCCAGCAATGTCTTTGGTATTGAATAAAGCACTGCTTAAGAAAGGCAAATGTTAGGAACATTTTAATGTGAGATTCTTCCAAAGGAATGCAAATGCCTCATTGTTGTAAATACTTATTGAGAATGCTATAGTTGATTAAAACTGAATCACATTTCAGATTTCTCAAGCAGTTAAAAATGTATCAGCTATATGAAAAAAAACTAATAATGTAAACCTCAATTTAATATCAAGAACAAACAGTAGAGATTTTCTCAAAACATACACATAAGTAAAAAACAAACAATGCTTAAAAAGGTACAAGTTTGACCCTACAATTTGAAAGTAAATTGACTAAGTATATTTTTTATTATTAAATGTCAAAGCCAAATAACATCTACTTACTAATGTCTCTCTATATACATGAACAATACCAAAGGGTGAAAAATACGTACTTGCAATTTGATTTTGATAACATAATAGGACTTCACCTATGACATTGGATCTTATTAACCTTAGTTTCATTTACCACTGATTGGTCCAATTAAAAAAAAAAAACTTTATTGTTTAAAACTTTCATTAAATTAAAAGTACTTTGCAAAATATATTTCAAAGTAGTAAAATATAAATAAATAGGAGGGAAAAAAGTTTTTTTGGAAATATATAAAAGGAAAAAGAATTTAAATGACTTGAAAGACAACAAAATCCGGGTTGTAACTTTAAATTATTAATTGGGGGCTTCTAACCCCACACCCCCCATCCAGACACCTAAATTTGTGGGTAGAAGCCATGAACTATAAATATGTTCCAATTGATTACTGTGTCAAAAAGCATTCAAATTTCAATTACATTTTGGATAATACAAAAGAAAATTTGATATGATGTAAGGACTTCACCAGCCATGTTGAACCTACCTACCCTATTCTTTTTTTAATTTTTGATTACCTACAGTTACCTAGAATTTATTGAATTACTTAATAGATTATTAAATGTTTTTAACCCTTTTAATGGATTGTTTCAAATAAAGGTAATTTATATATCTGGTTTTTTCATTGTTTATAAAATAACTTGGCTGGACTGATTTAAAACTACAAATAGAGTAAAATAAAAATTCACTCAAACACACACCCACCCACCTTTCTAATTTTAAAAAAGTGACAGTATCCAAAGAAAATTCTTTCTAACTGTGAAATCCATCATAAAAAGTGAATTGAGTAAGCCTATCTGACTCACCCTTTATTCTGCTAATTTTAGAGATAGGGAGAGAAAGGCAGGGAGAAAAACAATTTTCATAATTCCTATATTTACATACTGTTAATTTCTAAAAACAGACTTCCCAGTTATATTCCTGCTCTTTCAATCCCAGAATTCCTTAATTCCTATCCCATTTAGATTGCCATCTTGTACATATTTGAAATTAGAGGAACAAAAATGTGAGACATGATTACTTACATCTCTAATATCACTATTTTCGTATTTCTTCAAGACTTCTATTGATGATAGAGATCCAATTGCTCCAAGGGCTTCTCCTGTAAAATAAACATGTCAAAAGAAGTCAGATACAGATATTTACACAATTTTTACAATTAATGAAATATTAATTTCTTTAACTTACTAAAAGATCATTAACTTACTAAAAAGTATTTTTTGCTACATAATATATAAAAGTTGTTTGAAGGGTATCCTGGAAAACAGGGAAATGGAGGTATTATTCATTCTTACATCCATGTTTACCCAAAATAATGACCTTTATAAAACACAGTGTTGCTTTAACAAGTTAGATGTTAGGCATTTCATTTACTCTTAAATAAATTTTTTTTCCAAGTTTTTTTTTTATAAACCATCAATACCAATGTATGACATATTTGTGATATATCTTGTGTGTCACTCCCAAACAATAATTGCTTTCAATGCCATCAGCAGCAGCCACAAATTGTCTTAGATTGCAAGCTGCCAGAGTAAGAAGACCTAGGACAAATAAACTACTCGTTTTAACAAAAAATGAAATCAGAATCCTTAAAATTAAATTTTCTTTATTATTCTTAAATTCTATTGGAGTAATGATCAAATCATCATTGCTATTGTAAGTTCAATCCTCACAGGGCCCTTCCTCTATACTCTTGTGTCAGCTTAAGGTTAACATAATAAATAGCTCAAGCCTTCTTTGAACACTGTGGATTGATGCTACAAAATCACAAAGAACATCACTTGAGGACTACCAACAGCAGCAACAATTAAAATGGATAGCACATGTAACTTGAAGAGAAAATAATGACATAATCAAGATGTTAAAATTCCACACTACTTCAACTAAAAAGTTAAGGAAACTCATCAATATGCAAAAGAGCATAATGATTACTGGACTTGAGAAACTTGTTTTCCTGAAAAAATGTTTCAAGAGAAAGTACTGGCTGCTCAGTCAACGAATACCAAATGTTTCTGTACAGGTAAATGGATAATATTATCATTATAGGAAAGTATTTTTTACTTGTTTTATTTGCTTACACACAAAGCATGGATCAAAATCTACAAATTTTTTAAAATTTAATTGGTATTGCAGAGCTCATTATTTTATAATCTAACATGACTTGTTAACCTATGCTGTTAAAATAATGACAGAAAATTTAATTTTGCAATTGCATTGTATTTATATTATATAAAAAAACTATGCAGGTATGAGTTTTCTTTATATTCAATCTTTTCTGAATATTAAACTCAAATAAAAGGTAACTAACCGTTTCCTTTGTCTCCATGCTACAAATGAAAACAATAAATTCATTTTTTATATTGAAACATAATACTGAAAATGTTTACAGACCCAATTGCAATTTAAGAGGTCCCTAAACACAATACTTCTAAAATAAATATGTTGCAACATTTATACTATGTTACCAGATGAGATCTCTTCATAGAGATTGGCAATTGACACATTTATACAGTGGCCTCTTCTGATGCCATAAAAATGTCACACATACTAGTTTGCTCAGTTTTCACACTGAGCCTTTCTTTTATGTCTTATATCTTAAAATCTTGTGGATTATTACAGTTATATATATTTCTAAAGAATTAAGGGATTTAGTTTTAATCCTTCAAACATTATTATAGTGAACACCTTGTATTTGAAATAGACACACCATTTTTTTTAATTTATTAAACAGTGTGTATTACATCTATCAGCCTCTGTGCTAGTAAAAGTATTATTGTTAAAGAAAATTCACAATAATAATAATGTTAGTAAAGAAAGGATACAGGTACTTCCAAAGATTTGCTAAGAAATGATCATACCTGATTTTTTAATACTACAAACTTAAACAAAGTTTTATTATCAAGTTATTTGTTATTATTAAGAGAAAAGACTGAAGGATTATTTTGATTATTAAATTACGTTTTAATCTTTTTTTGAACCTTCAAAATTTTAATTAAAATATTAATTTTTTTTTTCTTGCATCAGCAGGTGACCATAAGTTAGTATAGGAAATTTTAGCCTCTTTTTGCAATTAATGAGAACTTGATGTAGAAATTCCTGCAAAAATCAAATAATTGTAGGATTATAATGAAACTTTCAAGACTTGTTCACAAATTACTGAAATTATTTCAGAATTTTTTTTTTTTTTTACATCTCTTACCCTGCCTTATTTAATTTTTTGTATAACTTCATGCTAATATTAGTCATAAGCAAATGAAAACAACTTTTGTAACGAATAATATTTTTTTTTATAAAAAATCGTTTACATTTTTTTAAAAACTTTAATTAGAATAATTTATATAATTTTAAAGCTTTTAAAATTCTGCATTGATTTGTAGCAGTTATCGTTATATAAAAAATGCTCATATTATATTCATCAAACAATTTTTTTGGGACATATACCCCCATAGAAAAAAATTACTTAAATTTCTCAAACATCAGACTGTCAAATCCTGATAAAAACACCAACCCCAGGTTAAAAATGCAATATTTTAAACTAAAAGTACTATTTGTTTCAAATCAGATTGATTAAACTTTAAATCAGTTAATCTTCCTCAAATAAAGTTTTTGAAAAGTATATTTTATTTTTGAAAGATTTTTTAATAGAGTCATGTTGTGCTGAGAGAATTGCAAATATGGCTAAAATCAGCAATTTTTAGCAATAAAAAGAAAACCTCATTGCAATCAATATAAATTTGTTTTAAAATACAGCAAAGTATTTTGCTTATTGGAAATATTGAATTTAATCTGTTGTGTTTGAAATTAAAACTAAATTAAAAGCTTGAAGAAAGATTTTTTATTTTATAAAAATTATTTTAAACCTCAGGTATTGCATTTCTTTGGAGGTACCAAATCTTACTTATTATAAAATGCAGATTGTGTGTGTGTGTGTGTGTGTGTGTGTACGTTTATATATTGGATCGGATTTCCTACATTTTTCAACCAATTTCAAGAAAACTTCACAGGACTATGTAAAATTACCGTGTGGTGGTTCTGACAGTGCCAAAAATTGGAAAAACAATTGTTTTTGCACAAAATCAATTTGAAAACACGATAAAACACGATTCCATCGCCAGAATGAAAGGGGGACAACTCATATCGAGTTATACTTATTATAAAACCCAGGTTGTTTGTGTGTGTGTGTGTGTGTGTGTGTGTGTGTGTGTGTGTGTGTGTGTGTGTACATTTATATATGGGATCGGATTTCCTACATTCTTCAACCGATTTCAACAAAACTTCACTTTTTTTTGGCAGGTAGTGTTTCTTATTGTCTTGCATACTTTTTTCTTTATTTTTACATTCAGAATGCTTTAAAAATTCCATTTACAAGACAATAAAATTTTATTCAATCAGTAGACTCATAACGATTGAAAACAATGTTTTTGTTTGAGTTTGGGTTTGACCAATTCGTAAAAAAAAAAAAACAAACAAAAAAACTAATTAAGGCATGCGTGTCCGTCAACCTTAAACAATAATCTTTGTCAATTTTATTTTTCAGTCTTTATGATGGTCGATACTTGATCTATCTCTTACCGTTACATCCCCGGGCAACGCCAGGCTCTACTGCTAGTTCACTATAAAAGTCAGATTAAAAATAAATCCATCAATTCTTTAGAAATTGGTTTGTTTATGTTTCAGATAATAAAACTGAGAAATTACAAGCTTTCAAGAAAAATAATCTGAGTAAGATGTGCTTTCTTTAAAAAAGGAAAATAGAGCCTTGCTTACTATGGCTTTCTTCATGGTCCGGCAATAAAGCATCTTAGATCAAATGGTGGTTTCCTCTACAAACGGTGATGCAAGTTGATAGACATAATACACAATGTTTATTAAATAAAAAAATTGGAGTATCTATTTCAGATATGAAGTGTCCAATATATATGAGAGAGAATTATGTAAGCCATTGCTGGTGATTTCGTTCCTGAACATAAAGGGGATTTTGTGTTCAAGCTGTCTGCCTAACAATTGAAAATTTTCTTGTTGGATTTAAAATATACAAAACAGTTCCTACCAGACCAGCAGCAGTTTTTTTTTTAAATTCATTGTTTATTCTCTCTCTACACTCCCCCCCAACTATTTCAATCATGTTGATGCACCCTCCTCCTCCTCCTCAAGAGGATATAGGAAGTAAGCTCCACAGGAAGTTGAGGTAAATCAAAGCAAATCAGCATAGGGGAGATATTTTGTTAAAGTCAGTTCTAGTTGACCTTTCAGAAATGCTATCCAGTTCTACACATTTTTTTTTTTTTTTAATATACCACAGTTATTTTATTGGCATCTGAAATCCCAAATTATTCCTCAATTTGTGTGTGTGTGTGTATGCGTACATGTGTATGGTTAAGAGAATCTAATTCATTATCACTAGACAATTTCCTCACAGATGAAGAGACTTCAGTCAATAGATGTGGTTTGACAGAAGGATGTTGAGAATACCATTGATGAAACATGTGAATAACAAGGAAGTTTTAAAAGAAAATGGGGGGGGAAAAAAGACACTTCTACTTAGAATCAGGAAGATGGATTTGTTTTCAACGGTTTATCAACACTTTGCTGCTTACTTAAAACAAGAAAATATTTTTAGAGTGAAAGAATTGGTGGGGTGTGATAACAATTTAGCGATACAAGTCTTACTAATTAAGCCATAGCTTAATAGGAAGGGGGGATTCATCCCTTTCTCAAATGCATTTCCACATAAGTGAATAGAACATACCCAACTGAAACTGAAATTTTACTCTCGGATTAACAACACCAAGCCATTATTACACCAATTGCACATCCAAGCTTACAGCATCTGGCATTACCAAGTGGTCACCTCTCTAGGTACTGACCAGGCTCAACACTGCTTAACTTCAGTTATATACAGGAACTAGTGTTCTAACACTATATGGCCATACACCAGAATCAGAAAGAGTCAATTGAAATTTCTGGGGCACATGAGGAAAGGAGGCTTGGAGATTTTAATATTCACAAGACATAATGAAAGAGAGTGGAAAACAGTAAACTACCTAATGAGCTTGTGTAAATGTATAGCAAAATAGGGACTGAGAGTGATACTAAGTAGAT